AGAGAATCGACGAAGTAGAAAAGAAGAGACGACGAAGGAAGACGAAGGGGGAGCTTGAAACGTACGGTTGCCACGCGCGAAAGTATTGTATTATGCAAGATAACCGGGTGAGACCGGATTATCGACGCGTCCTTATTTGCAGAAGGCAATTTTGCGGATATTCGAGAAGAAGGAGAGCGACGACGGAGAGGGGGAGGGGCCCAAAGAGGAAAATTAACGCGGATTATCGCCGGACGAAGTCGAGCCACCCACGTGGCCGCAGCCAAGCGCGGCTAAACGGTCGCCCGTGTACGCACACGTGGACAATGGGAAAACGCGCGCGGCGTCGGGCTCGCATCGCGTGGCGATCTGATAACGCGCACGCGACGATGATTCCTTACAGCGATCCACCTACGTCCAGATTGTCCTACATGGAAGAGAAATTCGGTGGGTCGGGACGCGAGTGACTAATTAAACGCCCCGTGTAGCGCTATAAATTTTCGCGGAAGGTTCCCGATACAGCGTGATCCTCATTTAAGAAGATTCATTAAAATTAAAGGATTTATTACACGGGCACGATCTCCTTCGCGACGCGATCCATCTACGTCAGCCAAATTATCTCTCGCGAAGGGGATTCGGCGGACCGCTGTATGACTGGCGTGTGTTAATCCTGTCGGTACTATAAATTTCGTTAAGCTTTCGGCGAGGATCCCCCGATATGCGTAAATCCCATTTAAAAGAATTCGTTGAAACTAATGAGATTTGCAAGGGAATGCTTTTAATCGCGCCGCTTTATGCACGGATTTTATATATATTAATATTGATCATATAGCAACTTTTATGCCTCGCCTCGTGTCTACTATAATATAAAACGTGTTTCTTAATACATATTTAAATGCACATATCGCGAATCTTTGTGACATGATGAAAATAAGCAAGCATTATTTATCTCTGTTTATATTATATTTTTTTAGAGCATAATGAAGAGCATTATGTGGTGAAATTTTCTATATTTAATCTGAATATATCTTTAACTCGCGGCAGATCGTGAGGAGAAATAGGCATGTGACATTCCATAGATAGGAAATGCTAATAATATTCATTGTACGCTATTTTCACCGCAGAGTGCTAAAAATAGCGTGACACTTTACATTGTTGCTCTCATGCATCCCCTTCCTTTATCTAATCTTCCTGAGTCGTTACGCGGCGGGCGTAATCGATTTGTCCGGGGCCGTGCATCATCACGTTTCATAAAAAGGTCAGCTCTCTCGCTGACGCAAGCCGTGTATCGGAGCTAAATAACGGCTTAGACGGCTACAGACAGACAACCGAGCGAGCGAGCGAGCGAGCGGAGTGACTGCGAGCGCAATTAAGAGATCGCGTATCGATAAAGGCTGCGAAAAGACCAATTAACATCAACATTCTGCCGATCGGCGAATGTAACTCGATATTTTAACAGTTATGCACCCGTTTCCCAGGCTGTTCAAGCTTTTACCGACCACCCAAGCTCGTCACCGACGCGGCCGATCCCATATGGATTCAATTCGATTTCGATATAAAACAGACGGTCTATTACGCTACGGAAAGTGCTACAAAATGTCGACGGCGAATGAGAATAGAGAGAGAAACTTAAAGTAGAGTGCGGTACGCAAATGTAACTTCTCGTACGACGAGCGTCCTATAGAGAACACATATTATCTCATCCTTTGAAGTCGGCATACGTTAACGTTTACGTTAATACGCGCGCGACTTGTCTTTGATCTCTGACCGAGTGAGCAATTAAATGCATCGAGCATGCACGAAATTGCATACGCGCACGGGCGCACTTGGCAAAAGCTATGTGCAACACTCCTCCCCGTCGCCCGCCGACGATATTCGCGAACGCATGCAATGTGCGTGCAGATACGCATCCCCACGTTCCTGTAGGCGAGAGCAGCCTTATCAGATCCACGCGATTTATCGTCACAGCCCTGCCTGCGATAACTTGTATTTTTCGCGTATCTCTCCGCCGCCGCCGCCGCCGTCGCCGCCATCGTCGGCGATCTTTCGCGGATCTGGAATTAGCGCCTCGGCTTCCTCGGAAACAGCACGTGCTCTACGAGCGCGCGCGAAGGTATTGAAGCTACGTTTAAATCCGCAGGCAGAATTAAGTGAATCGTATAAGGCGTGGCCGATCGGCGCAATTAGTTTTTACGGCCTTCATTAGCGATGCGTAAGTTTTAATTATTATTCACAGAGAAGTAGTCCGGGAGCGGAATATTCAATGCATCCTTAATCTTTAATGGTTATTATAAAGTCCAAGTCGGCCAAGTGCGTTAATCTCATTCTTCGGCCTCGTTCCATGTTTCGACTTATCGTTATTAACGGAGCTCGTTCTCTCGCTCCTTTTTCTACCGTTTGATGTCAACGACTTCAAGATATATACGTTCAGTATATATATATGCGTTTAATACATTTTTGCCTCATTTTGTCAATTCTGGGACTCTTTATAATCACAATTGAATGTGACTCTTTCTGCTGCATAAATTTTTACACAGCACGATATATTTTACCGTTATAAATATAAAAAGATCGATAAGTATTTTTCGAAGAAAACATTTTTTCTTGTTTTATGTATATTCATGTAATGTATAAAAATTTTACATCGATTACATCGCTTTCAAATTGCCTTTAATTTTTTTATTTGCATATTAATAGTTTTACATCGATTGCCGCTTTTAAATCGTCTTTAATTTTTTTTTGTTTACACATTAATAATAATTAAACATGGCAGTTTTATTCGCACGTTGCCGTGGAACGAAATTATATATGACGAATTGCGTCCCTGCCCGCACACGTGGTGTGCGCGATTGCGGCGGCGAGAACGAGGCAGGTAGGGGAGGAGGGGAGGGTTCACGTAACGCAATTATCCGTATTAACATAGCTGGCCCGGTGGTCCGCATCCGCGGTAGCGTGGCGGGACGTACGCAGGATCACTTTAAGGTAGTATGCGATATCTCGAGAGGTAGTACAAGGTAAACGCGGCACGGCACGACCACGGTTGCGCTCCGTCCCGGGCAACGGGATGCAATTTCGTCCTCGGAGCGTATTATCCCCGCCAGAGCGCGACGGAAAATTGATAAAGCGGAGCTGAGGACTACCTGCGCCGGTCAGTGCAGAGTCTCGGGGGGTCGCGTACGTCGTGGCAGTTGCTCCTGAAAGATTGAAAGCCCCCGGTGTCCGTCGTAAATGATGCGCGTCCGAGCAATTGATATCTTCCAACGCTCGCTGTCCCGCGACGCAAAGTGACACCGGAACAGGTGCGCTTGTTTTATTTCACGGCTGAATGAGTTAACAACGCAAAATTATGACATCTTGAATAACGCAGCGCTGACATTATAGTCTGCCTTATAGGAATCATTTTCAGTTTAAAATATTTTAAAAATTTTAAAAATATTCAAGCTTTTTTGTTACAAAATGCAGCGCCAATTTTTTTTCTCGTTATCGGAAAAGTTTATTAAAAGTAAAACTGATTGGATCAATTAGTATCTATACGAGAAATTGTATAAGTTAAAATAAAAATTCTCATAAAATCTGTTATATAATTTCATACTCTTCACACACATCTATCAAAAAACTGACTGCAAAATTGTTTTCGATTTTAAGAATAATACGTTAGGACTAGCGTGGCTAGCACAAGAATAAAGTGAACAGAAAAGTAAAGACGTAAGAGAGGGCAAGGAAGACGCTAAGAAAACAAGGAAGCAAAATGTTGGCAAGACGTAGAATCCTTTGGGATCGTTAAGCAAAGGAAGAACGCCCGGTATTTTCTTCGCGGCTCTTCCTTCTCTCAGTATCCTCCATACTTTTGCCTTGCCCTTTGCCTCTCTTCTCTCCGGTATGAAGATCGAAGCTTGCTTTACGAGGCAGTCTTGTAAGTCGATCGTTATGCCCCGATAGTGCACGTACGTAAATGTGTGTGTGTGTGTGTGTGTGTATGTGTGTGAGTGTGTGAGGCGTGTACAGAATATTATGGCGTGACATCCGCGAGACGTAAAATCGCCTCTTCCCCACGCGACCCGCACGGTGCCAACAAAAAAAAAAATATAAAAGCGAATCGCGGTAAATCTCTACGAACTGCCAGTTGTCGTCGCGCAGGGTGGTCCCCGTTTCGAGGATTCCTTTTGCTTGACAATGTCCCGAACTTTTTAAAAAGTATACATCTTCTGCTATCCCGCTTTCAAGCGACCTATTCGTTAGCCCTGCTATTGTGGTCGGAATAATCGCAAAAAGAATAATACATCCATTTGTTCGAATAACTCTTATTTTGAGTCGATATTATTAAAATTTTATTACATTTTAATTTTATTTATTACATATATGTAAGATTGCAAGATATAAAATTGGAACTCATTAGAAGTAAATGAAATAAATTTTTTTTAAATGAATGTCTGTAGATAATTAAATAATAATTTTACAAAACAACAAGATTATTGCCGTCACGCGATTCCTCAAGTTCTAATTATCGACAATTTGTGCTGTCGATTCGTGCTGAATTTTGAAAGCTGGTGGGACTTCCAAGAAAAATTCCGGCGGCGCCCGTGTCTAGGTCGTGTTGGCCTAGGTTGAATTATGAGTTGCTACCGATAAACGTATAAGAGGAAAAAGAAAGCGCCGCTTTCGACACGCTCGATTCGGTAATTATGACACCTCACGCCGACTTTTCGCACCTGCCGCGTACCGGTTTCTCACCTCCCAGGTTGAGGATCGAAAGTCTATGGCTACACAGACACTATTGTAGTTGCTTATAGTTCCTATCCTCGATTAAGTTCTTGATTTTTATCTAAAAGAATAAAATATTTTGTTGGAAAGAGAAAATGAAGGAAATGAAATATCTATAAGATCTTAATGACTTCGTTATCGAAAAACTTCAGGAGCATTTGTATGCACCTTGTTTAAAGTTGAGAAACGTTTCTAATGAAATCTTTCCGCAATGCTCTCGAGATCAGCTCGGATAACTCATGTCTCGTTATGTGTTGCAGATTTAGCGGAGACCAGCATGTTTCGACAAGAGGGGGTCACGACTTATTCTCAGCTGCTTTTCGACGTGGCGCGACAGCAAGTCGTCGTCGGAGCTCGGTACGTATTTTCGTGCTACAAGCTTGTCTTCAATTACCGAGTTAATCCTCTCGTTTCCAGGACAACTGTTGTTGTACATTAACGTCACTTAATTAAAAAAATTAATGAATTATGAAAATACTTGCGCAAAGTTACTCTCCGGTCGTCTTAACTGAACACAAATCACACGAGTGTCCACAATCTGATGAAATTACACAGAATTAAAAATTTATACCAAATTAAATGGACAGTGATTGTTAGAAATGACGTTTGACTTAAATAAAAAGGCATTCAGACATTTTTTTTAACATGCAGAGGTAAATTGGAAAAATGAGAAGACCAGGTCAAAGTAATTTGTAAAGTGAACGCTCTCGAAATTGCACTCTTAAATCTCGGTATAACAATAAATTGCTAACGGACTCACTGGAAGAAGTTCAGCCTTTCGTACTGAAATCACGAAACTCTCAAGGAGTATTGTTAGAACAACGGCGAAGTCCTCAATCCGATAGTGGTATCTATTTCACTAATAGTCTTCTCGATAACGAGTTTTAGAAAGCGTTTCATTTTAAGATCAGAATTTAATGAGAAAATATTCTCGACCTACTGGCTTCGATAAATATTATCTCTCAATCATGACAAAAAGTTCGATCACGCATGATGAGTGTCACATTTTGGCGCAATAATTACGATTTTACGAACTGATACTCGTATACGTATATCAAAGATTAATGGAGCCTATCGATTTCTACGCATATAGACGTTCTAGACGAGTTTCAAACTTGTAGCAACAACGTCGAATCTCACAGTCGTCTTGATCAGAAGCAATTATTCCTAAACTTATCTGCTCCACTTAGGATCAATTTCATTATATATTTTATAAGAGTGTAGAGAGTAGAGAGTTTCCCTTTCGAATCAAAATAAAAAAGCAATATGTAATCAATTCTATATTTGAAAAAGTATAAGCAAAGAAACGACGAGATTTATTGGATTCGCAACGGCACGTTTTGCTTATACGAAAAATCGGGTTCTCTTTGGGGCGGCAGTAAAAAAAAACTCGACTCGAGTTGAGAAACTTTTTGATCTGATCTTTTCGCACGAGGACTGGAAATAAACGCGGAGCGAATGTAAATAAAGGTGGAGGGGCGAACGATTTTGCGTGTCGCGTTTTGTAGGACGACGACGCGCGCTCTTTGGCGACGTCACTGGCGCGATACGAGCCGTGGAGGAGACGATAAACACACGGCCGGCTCCTTCGTTCGCGGCGGTTTCCAGGCGAGATCTCCTGGCGGCCCGCCAAATTGGCTGACATACGGCGGTCTCCCCGAGGCGCCGATCCATTTTCACGACTTGCGCCAGACGAGGTCGGCTCGGGTTTTATCCCCTCGTCTCGCCGGTCTCTCGCGACGTGATTCACGAAAGAAACGACGGCGGAAAAAAATAACGGCGCGCCTCTCGTTGACGCTCTTTACGTCGCGTCGGCGAGCACTGCACGGCCGTGCTTCGCGATAACGAAGTCGGTCTCGCTCGCTCGCCTACGTGCAGCTCATTAACCGCAGGGACTGCGCCGAAAAAGCCGAATCGCGCCGACTCATGCGCGTAAGCATTACGAGCCCGATCGCGGCGGTGCCTCGCGCAATACTGCTTAAAATTGCCAGGACTAATTGCTGCGACGAATTTCGCAATCTTCTTACTTAACCGCGTTATCGCACTTTTTTGCTATTTTCGACGACCTTACGCTTATCTCATGAAATGCAACTTCCGTGATCGAAACTGTCGCGTGATATATAATTAAAATAATGATGCGGCGTTATCTTCGTTGCGTACGTCGTGTCCTCGAAATGCTACGCGGTTTATTCCTCGGCTCGAGGCCTTTATTGACGGAATATATAGCGAGGCGACGTCACGATATCGAGAAACGGCAAATGGATCTCGCGATCTCCGATTTTGCGATATTATATCTGATTGAATTATGCGCCGCGTGGAATATCGGATTTACGGCGAGGGAATATCACGACAACGAAATTGCCTCTGAAAATCGTTGCTCGGGTGCGGTACGTGCTCGCGCTTAGGCAAATCGCGTTTCGCGCGATTCATTTACTCGCGGCGGGGTCGAATGGGGCGCGGGCGCGAGACGTGCCCGCCGGTCGCGCTCACGCTCATTACAACGCGTTAGTGCGGATCGTTTCTTGCACGAAACTATGTTCGGTACGGACTTATACGTGATATACAAATTATAGACTCTCTCGCGGAGGCGAGACCGACGGCGCTTCCAGGGCCGCTGAGAACTTTTTTGCGGCGCTTTCTCTAGCCGCTAAGCACCGCGCCTCATTATAAGCAGGAAATGACGCTCGATGTATTCGACGAGTGATAAAAAAAAAACGAAACAGAAAATGGGGAGAAAAAGGGAACGGGCGCGTTGAATGGCGTGCATATCAAGTAGGCGATTACCTGTCCCACGAAATCGCGTCCTAACGCGCCTGTCATTAATAATATTTGTATATACGGCCTTTTAACGAGCGACGAATGGCCCGGGGAACGGGACCGGAAAACGGCGACGACGTAATTTCGTCGTAGTCTCGCGACGGGCGATCGAGAACCAGTTCACGTAGGAGCAGCTGCAGTTAGCGAAACAGAGTGACGGAGAGTCGGGCACGATTACCGATTATCTCGATAAACTAGTCTTGTCTAAGGAGACATCGTGAAGGGAGACGTCATTTCCCTTCTACGCTTTCGAACTTCAGTGCCTCGAAGCCACTGCCACGTTCGCGGATCCGTGCCCGTCATGCTTAGCTCCGAGATATCAAGAAGTATCGAAAGGATACTTGGATGACTGGTTCCCCGGGACTGGTCGATCTTATCTATATCTCGCGATTGACAATAAGTTAAGTGGTTAATGTAAGTTAAGTGGCTAATATGTGGTCATTCCCGGCAACAAAAACACTGAGAGCGTAAAGCACTCGAGGTGCTCTGCCTTCGTCCTTAATTGAGGACATTGATTCTTTTTCTCTCGATTCTACGCTCATTTTTTTAGTGTACCGGGCGAGCATCGTGCAGCAATATGACTTTTAATTGCATGCAAATGAAACGTTATCCTGAATTTTAATTTGGAATTCAAATGTCACGAAGGATTGAGAAAATTTTTCTGAGACCCAGCAGAGAACATAAATTCAAGATAATCGCCGATCCGCCATGATCGAATTGCAAGATGACATTCGAGCTGATCAATGGAGCTAAAATTAGCGCTATCGGTGTCGTTAAGGTTGTGCACGACGCTCAGCCGATGCCGATTCGTGAAAAATGCGGTCCACCCACGCGAAGTAAATACGACCGTGCATACGTGCACGCACGGCACGGGTGTCGCGAAATCTGAGCTGGACCTGGGTCGAACGAACGAATGAACGATCGATCGGTCGATCGATCCGTGGAAAAGGGAATACGCCCCCGCACGCTTTCTATTAATAGAACGTCAGTTATTAGCCGCTGCCCACATTCGTAGCCGCGTTCGTGCGGTTTCCAGTAAAGTGGCCGGCACGGAAAAATGTACGAAAATCGTTCTGAAATTTATGGCCAGGATATTCTAGCGTTCCCTCTAATTTTGATAATTAATTAGTTTCAAACTCCACATCTCGAGAATTAAAAAAAAAGTTTATCTGCAAATGTACATGTATCGTTTCAAGTGTTAGAAACTTGAGAAATGACGGGCTTTAGCATTTTTATTCCCGCTCGTTATAGCGAATATACATATATTATTGCTATTACACATCATATGTTTACATTTCTATCAAACTTTCTAAATAACGTGCATGTCTCACTCTCTACATTCTATTTGTTTATTTCTATTTATTTGGCTCTCAAACCTCTTTTTTCGTTTTGAAGTTGACGAACGAAATGATGATACGACAGTCTCACGCGGATGTCATCGCGACTCTTGACTAGATGGTTTCTTACCGGGAAATTTCTCACGGAGAGAAATTATCTCCGCCGCGTGAGTTTGTTTTGTCCGGATAGAAAACGTTGGCGGCGGCGGTTGGATGTGTGACACGACGCGAATAAAAAGTTTTTGGGTTTACGCGCGTGAGATTACACGCGACAGTCGGCCGCAGGTGTTAGGAATTTCATACATCGCCGCCAACGTGGTCGTCGTATCGTATTTACGATGTTGCTCGAAGTGTACGAGGCATGCGAAACCTATCCCAACTCTCCGTATCGCCGGTTCTCTCTATCTGTCGTTTTCATATCGACAGCGGGGAGAAACATTCTCTCGAGCATTTTTCTCTCACGATTTAGCGAATTCCTTCGTCTTGCTAGAATCTGCGAGGTACGCTTATCTCTAGACTATCTCTTTTACGTTTAATGTTATTTAATTTTTTTAGATGCGCTGCACATATGCGGAATATTCAAGTTTCTAAGATCTTTCTTTTATCTACATTTTCTATTTTTTTAAATATTTATAAAAGCTTAACAAAATCAAAAATTTTTATATCTTATATATGTGCAAATATAACAGGTAATATATATTTCTCATTTTTGCACTTTTTTTTAAATTAAATTTCGTATACACACATTTTCACCTCCAGGTTTCTTAAATTAAAAATTTTTGCCAATAAATCATCGAGAATGGGATAATTTTATTCAAGAAAAAAATTATTAATATATTAATCAAACGTTTATCTCTGGATCGATCAATTAATTTCGTCATCAGTTCAGACCTGTCTTCAAGATCTTCCCGAACAAGAGTGACGAAACGATTTCACCGACACGTCGCCGTCGCCGATTCGGAAAGTCTGTACGAAAGATTTTTCGTGCACGCATCGCAGCGCCTGCACGCGCGCCGCGCCGTGACAAATCGTTACCGGGAGATTTATCTTGTAGCAAATAAGCGGCCTTATTTATAGGGCCGTGTCGATCGACGTGTCCGCCGGTGCAGGTTGTCGCGAGAGATCGAGCGCAGCAGCGGCCTACCGTTACCGCCTACGGAACCTGATTTTGGTGCGTCGCGTCGCGTCGCGTCGGCAGCCTCG